GTCCTCCTCGCCCTGCAGAGAGCCGGGCTTGTGGCCACCAGCTGTGACACCGCTCTGCTCTTCCTTTCGCAGGGCCAGGCAGGCGCCCAGGAGGGAGCCCAGGCGTCCTGGCCTGCAGCCCGCGCCCGTTCCCACACTGCCTGTCCCTGTTGGTGCGGTCCCGAGCTGCTGGCTTCGCCCCAGCTGCAGCAACACTGCACTTCACATTACCACTGCGGCACAGCAGGGAGGCAGGTGCACAGAGAGCGTGTCCCCGGGGGCTGTCACCCCCCTGGGCCTCATGGCCGTTTAATAATTCACCCATTAACCTGGACTAATAAACCTCGTGGGAGCGAGAGGCTAAAAGCCGTGCCAGGTGGGCAGAGCCTCCTTCCCCGGTGCTGCTCCTGCAGTCCCACCATGGCGGCAGGGGTACTCATCCGCAACGTCGGCATCGTGGCCATCGTGCTGGCCCTGGGGGCCGTGGCCACCATCATTGCGCTCTCAGTGGTGTATGCGCAGGAGAAGAACAAGCCTGCCGCCCCCTCCGCCTCCACCGCCACCACTACCACCACCACCACCACCACTGCCCCCATCACCACGGCCGCCCCCAGTAACCTCTGGAACCAGTGGAGGCTGCCCACAGCGCTGAAGCCGGAGAGCTACGAGGTGACTCTGAGGCCCTTCCTGAAGCCCAACGAGAACCAGATGTACATCTTCACGGGCAACAGCACTGTGGTCTTCATCTGCGAGGAGCCCACCGACATCATCCTCATCCACAGCAACAAGCTGAACTACACCATGCAGGGGGGCTTCCACATCTCGCTGCAGGTGGTGGACGGCTCCAGCCCACCCGCCATCAACAAGACCTGGCTGGAGACCACCACCCAGTACCTGGTGGTGCAGCTGGCAGCGCCGCTGCAGAAGGGCCAGTACTACAGGCTCTTCAGCATCTTCACCGGGGAACTGGCCGATGACCTGGCTGGCTTCTACCGCAGTGAATACATGGATGGGACGGAGACCAAGTAGGTGGAGGGCGGAGAGGGACGGTGGGAGACAGGGAAGAGGGAAGGGAGCTCAGGGAGAGCGGGTCTGTGAGATGGGCTGTGGCAAAGCATGGGGCTGGCCCAGAGACAGCAGAGGGCACGGGCCAGGTCTGGGGCATCTTGTCTCCAGCTGGGACTGCGGAGACACAAGGCTGTGGGTGCTGGGGTGCTCCATCCCCTGTGCCCCTGGGGCACAAGCCACCCTGGGTCTTGCCCTGAGCGTGTCCCCATGCTCCTGCCTGCAGGCTGGGCTGGGGAGCAGGTGAGGAGCAGGGTGAGTGCTGCTCCCTTTGCTCTGCTGAGGGATCCTGACCCTCCCGTGGGGCCATGGGGGCTGAGTGAGCTACGGGTGCCAATGGGGGATTCGTTTGCAGGGTCGTGGCCACGACGCAGATGCAGGCGACCGATGCGCGGAAAGCCTTCCCCTGCTTTGATGAGCCTGCCATGAAAGCCAACTTCACAGTCACCATCATCCACCCGACCGACCACAAGGCGATTTCCAACATGCCTGCCAAGAGTGAGTGGGGCAGAGGGAGCCCCAGGGCTGGGACGGGGGGCCCGGGGCAGGCTGGCGATATCCCATCCTTCTCCTCCTCCTTCAGGCACCTGGCAGCAGCAGATTGATGGAGAGAGCTGGAACGTCACCGAGTTCTTGACCACCCCCAAGATGTCCACCTATCTGCTGGCCTTCATCGTCAGCCAGTTCGAGAGTGTGGAGAACACCTCGGGGAGGGTGCTGGTAGGGCTGGGAGCTTGGGGGACAGGGCAGAGCCTGGCGGGGGACGGGGGCTCGGGGTGTCGGCACGCGTGGGACGGGGCAGAGCCGAGTGGGGGCTGAGCCCAGCGTCCCT